CAAATGTGAAATTTTACAACACTCTATATGTTGCAGAGCACGATAATATTTCTCCCCAATTGTAATAAATTTTCACGACAAATATCAAATATGCAATCAGTAAAATTCAAATAATTCAAAATAAATATCAAATGTACGATTGGTAAAGAAAATAAAAATCAAATAATTCAATATCAGTAAATATTAACTAACTACGATCAATCAATAAATCAAATTTTTATCCACTGGAAAAAAATTGTCAAAATACTTTCAAATTCAAATTCCCTCAATGTTATATGTTTTTATCTCTGGATCACCTGTACTTATTCCAGATCTCTTTCCCTTCCTTCAAATGTAAAGCTGCGATATTTTCAAGCCCCACGTTTTGGAAGCCAGTTATTGTGATATTTAAAGTCTTGGTGCGCCAAGCAATAATTAGCTAATTAATTATTTTGATTAATTAAAATTATTTAAATGATATGATTATGATTCTATCACAATTTTTAATTCTCTTATCTCAGGGTTTTATTCGTGCTTCAATATCTATGCTATTACATGTGAAAGGTAAGGTCCAAAGAATACCGGAATAATAAAAAACATATAGGATCTAACATTATATATTGAAATAAAAATAATGAAATAATTCACAGTCAAATGTTTTCAATAAACAAAATCTCATATAATGATTCTCAAAATTATGTTCTACGTACGTGAACCTTCAAAATTAATGGTACAATCAATATTAATTGAAATCTCAAAATCCAAGTATTACTCTAAATCTCCTAATCAAAATATTTATATCCTTTCTAAATTAAGTGTAAAAATTGTGTTATCAATGAAAGAAAAACTGCAGAAAACAAAACTATCTCTCTCTGATGATGAGTGGTCCAAATCCTTGTTATTTGTAGACTATACTATTTACTCGTGGCCGCTCCCTAAGTAATCAGCAATCTTACAATAAAATATTGCAAGTATCTCGTCCTTAATGATCTCCTTCAAATGCACGAATCGTTCAAATTATGCTAGCTTCTTCTTCTCTCAATAAACTGAATCTCTCGTTGGCCTGAGTGAAAAATGACTCTTGGAATATCTTTTCTTTACGATAAACTGAATCTCTCGTTGGCCTGAACAGTGAATCTTGGAATATAAGTAGAAAAATATGACTTACAATATTTTACTGGATCAGCTTCTGTCAGATACACTAACTACACGAAAACTCGCAAACTTTCACTGCTACTGCTTCCTACCTCTGGGAAACTACCCGAGAACAACGGCCGTTCGCCTTGCACCCTTGGAAACCAACTGACTATCTTTTCTCACTCCGAAATCTAGCTAAACTTTCATTCCGATAACCTATCCCACCTTTTTCAATCTCCGCCAATCAAAACTCGTCACAATTCCCCATTCTTTCATTCCGATAACAAACAAATTTTTACCTATAATTATAAAATTTCCTAAAACTTATTTACAAATAATATTTTTCTATAATTCTTAAAAACTAACAAAAACCTCTTTCCAAATCTCTTCTATTGTCTTTAATCGCTGCGTTAATGTATTTGGAAAACCCGGTTCAATTGTTCTTTGGATTTCACTTAAAATTATGCGGGTCACTCAAGTTTAGTATAACAAAAGAAATAATTTATGCATAGCTTACATTTTGTTTAATACAGGTAATCCAAAAATTTTAAAAACTTTCTTTCCTCGAAATGTTTGTTGGTTATTATCTTACTTATCTGAATTATTTAATGATTTTGAACTTTGAAATATTTTGATCAAACCAATATTTTTATCGATTTTACATATCATAACAATATATATATATATATATATATATATATATATATATATATATATAAATTGTTTGCAATGCCGTACATTTCGGCGGGAACAGGTGGTGTTAAATCTAAGGCGCAACCCGTATTTTGAACCCCCATGGTTGAGTACCTATAAGAATTGGGGGCATAGTTTCTAAAGTTGATATTACATGTTGTAGTATTGATTGATATGTGATTCATGTCATTCATGTTGGTTCAAATGACTCCCTTAAGATGTCCCATGGCCTTGTAGTCTAGAATGTAAGTTTACCACTAAATATTTCACACAGACTAAGCCTCAACACCAAAACTAATATAATATTATAATACAGTTCATTAAGGACCATAAAAGAAATATCTAATATTACACAATGAATTTTTAAAAATATTTGTAGCAAAAAGCTTACTTAATGGTTTGAACACACACACACACACACACACACACGCACACACACACGCACGCACCCACCCACACGCACGCACCCACACGCACGCACGCACCCACACGCACACACGCACGCACGCACCCAAACGCACACGCACCCACACGTACCCACACGCACGCACCCACACACACACACAAAAGCGCGCGCGCGCGGGGTACGAAGAGGTATTGTCTGGTGGCCAAATTTGGCATAAAAAATTTTTTCAATTCCGCCAACTGGAATTGCATTATGTGAGCTATAACCGAAATGAGGGTACCGGCATATCTAAGGAGGATAGTGACTAACTACTTCACTGATCGACTTTTGAAATATAACACAATGTTTGGCCCGAATCACTGGAGGAGTACCACAGGACTCTATGCTAAGCCTTCTCTTGTGGAATATTATGTATGATGCTAAAGCTAAAACTAGAATTACCAAGAGATGTTAGGCTCGTGGCATACGCCGATGACGTGGCTGTCACGTGCAAAGCACGTTAAGGAAATAAATCTCATGTTCGACATCATCTTGAGAGAATCTTACAGTAGATGAACAGAGTTAATTTAAAACTAGCGAAGAACAAACCGTAGGCAGTGCTTATTACTAGTCTCAAACAGGCGTAACATTGAGCATTGGAGAACATGAAATAACATCGCAACCATTCCTTCGGTACTTGGGAGTGCTGATTGATGCCAGACTCAACTTCAAGCAGAAATTAGAGTATGTCAGTGCTTAAGCGTCAGTAGTAAGAGCAGCCTTATTAACGCTAATGCCGAATGCAGGTGGCCGAAAATAAAGCAGGAGGACGTTATTATCAGTGTATACGGAATATCAATTTGCCCAGACCCCTCGGAACCCAGAAATCACGGAGGAAGGTCGCATCAGTATATCGTCTGAGCAATTTAAGGGCTGCCAGCTCATTTCGCACAGTATCTGAGGATGCAGTATACTTCATGACGAAAGGAAGACCTTTTATCGGCAAAGAGAGTCAACTACATCTACATTGTGCCCGAAGAAGAATAGAACGGCAAAACAGCATTAATCGATGTCAATTACAGTGAGATTCCTCAACTACGGGCAGGTGGAGGCATTGTCTTAAACCACAGGTGAATGTTTGGCTGAACCGCAAACATGGCGAGGTCAACTACTATCTGACGCAGATGCTCTCAGGACATGGCTGTTCTCGAGCATATCTTTAGCGCTTTAAACATGACGATTTTTAACATGTTAATTTCCCCAACAAAGACAAAATGCATGGTTATAACAGCAAATTTACTAAGATGTAAATTGGAGCTGGAAGGTCAGATAATAGAACAAATGATTGAGTTTAAATATCTAGGCATCACATTATCTAGCTACGAAAAGCTCGAAACCGAAGTGGAAGATCAAGTGGATAGAGCAAACAAAGCCGCAGGCTGCCTAAATGAAACAATATGGAGAAATAAAAATATCGGGAAAGAAACGAAATGCAGAATTTACAAAACAGTCATCAGACCAATAATGACATACGCGGCAGAAACAAGACCTGACACCGAGAGGACAAAAAAGATGTTAGAAACAGCAGAGATGAAAACCCTTAGAATTGATGGTAAGACACTATGGGACAGAGCTAGAAGTACAGATATACGACAAAGATGCAAGGTGAAGAACATCAAAAACTGGGTAAGAAATAGAAGAGTAGAATGGAACGATCATCTAAGCTGAATGACAACAAAAAGAGTAGTAAAGACGGCAAGAGACGGTTCCCCAGTAGGAAGACGATCAGTAGGAAGACCACGAAAACGATGGAATGACAAGAAGAAAAACATGATGATTCTCCAGAGTGCCCATCCTGTCTCGGGGTCAGTGAAGATGCCGAAGACGTGTTCTTCGTGTGTCCTCGTTTCAACTTACTGTGCAATACGATAATAAGCAGTTATCAAACAGAAAATTCAACCAGAGACCATAGTAGAATGCTTTTATCGAAGGTAATTTGGGCTGCAATCTAATCAGCACATTCGTGATGGAAGTCTTCCACGATCTTCGCCGCATTGAAAGCAGACGAGCTGAAAATAGAGATGGTTAGAAAGAGCAGCAATGACTTCAACAACATGAAGGAAGAGCAATAGCTAGATCCTTCCACCGTGAAGTAATACCATAGGGTAGTACCGGGAGTGGAGCGCAGAAGCAGAAAGGAACGGATTTTAGTCGGTATTGTTTCCTCGCTATAGTATTGTAATATACGTGTCCGACATATATCTAGTCCTCCTAGTCTCTAGCCTATTTCCAAATCGAAAAAAAAACACACACACACACACACACACACACACACACACAACGCATATAATGCAAAAACAATTTAATTAAATGGTAAATTAACGACATAGTCAGTGTTTCAACTGTGGGACCAACTATTTTAAGTTACACAGCCAATTTGGTTTGAGCCAGACTATATGGCCATTTTGAGTAAGGGCCAGTATGTTCTGTTTTGGATAAATCTTTAAGTAATCATCGACATTATGTTACTTTATTTTTAATTTATATAACATTTAAAATGTAAATCAAAAGGTTTTTATACCAACTGGAAGGGAAGTTTTGCTAATGCTTCGTATCGCTTATGATGGTCTGATAGGACCGAAACCGTTTTCAAAATTTGTAATCCTTTTGGATATTGTTAGAAGTTTATTAATTTTGTAAATTATACCAATTACGCTAGAAGTTTAACACTTTATTGTTAGTTTTTTGAACTATGGTATACAGCTAACCACTGTCAATTTTTCCTTTATATGTTATTATATTTTAGGTATCGAAGATGCAAGAAAGGTTTACCAAGACTTAGCCCTGCTATCTCCATTTTGTAAGGATTTGCATATAAAAATGGCTAAACTTGAAGAGATAGAACTAGTTTGTAGTATCAAACACCTGGAACGCCCTCTTAGTCTATTGTGCGAGCAGTTTGGAAAAGATGATCCGGATTCTTGGATAGTCTTAAGAGATTGTTACTTAAATCATCAAAAGCAGTTTGAAGAAGCTAATCCAACGTTTAATATTAATACCAAACTTGCTCAAATTAGAACAAAGGCTCTTCAAGCTATAGGAGGTAATGGACCAGCTGTAACTGAATTTTTAGAAAAATATGATAGTGCTTCATTCAATTCATAAATTTCATAAACAAGGAATAAATTTTTAAAGTTGTAGTTTGTTTGTAATTACTTTTCCTAATTGTTTAACTATTAAAAAGGACTGGTCTAACGGAGCAAATATATGTTAGATGGCTTTGGAGCTTGAGTCATATTTTTATAGTTTAAATAGTAAAATAATTGTTAATACTTGATAAAGGTCAGTATATGGCACAATTTTAGTGTTGTCAACCAGATGGTAATATTCAAGTGAGCTAAAATATTTTAGTTTTCTTCAATTTAGTTGTCTAAAATAGTCACAAAACCTAATTTCAAAACAAAAAATTGCTGTCACCTGAAATACAATTAGTAGAGTAATAAAACTGGTCAATAGGTAACCAGTATTACAATATAAATAATGCTGGTTGTCGAATTTAATCAAAGTAATTAGTAAGTAAGCAGGGGCGGATGGGCAAGTAAAATTCTACCGGGAGAATAAACGACGGCGGCCCAAAATTTAAATATATATATATATATATATATATATATATATATATATATATATATATATATATATATATATATATATATATATTATATACACATGGGAGTTTTTTTGATTTTTTTTAACTATAGAAACTTGGAATCTAAAATACAAAGTTTGCTCTAGAAAATTCTATATTAAGATATTTAAGATATATAAATAACAAATTAATGTGTTATAAACTATAGGTGAATGAAATATCGTTTTACATATATAGCTATCACTAAATGGTAACCTATTATTTATTATATTAATACATTAAAGCGTCCTTCATTAATTTGGTTGTTTGACCCAAACGATTAATAATTTCATCATTGTTGATATCGCTCAGTATATCATTTTCAATATTCATCAGCATGAACGACTCGAGTCTATTATCAGACAAGGAGTTTATTAATCTATTTTTGATAAATTTTAAAGTTGAAAACGATCGTTCACATGCCACTTGCGAGATGGGCAATGAAAGTATATATTGATAAGCCAATACCACCGTAGAATAAGCCCCCTTAAACTAATTATATTTTAAAATTGAACCGTAGCAACAAATGACACAGTTCTGACATTTGTTAGATTCGATGCACACCCTTGATTTTGTACTCTGTTTTGTTATACAGTCATCTTCGTCTACATCTGACTGTGCAGAAGAAGAGTCGTCTAACCCCACATCAAGTCTAGCATAATTTATTTCATATGAATCTTCAATTGTTAATTTAATATGTTTCCAGTTGCTTTCAACTTTGCAGGAGTTGCAGAAGAATCAAACTGTATTAATTTTTCTGACAATATTTTTAGAGAATTCTCAGGTAGCTCACCTTTGGCGATTTCTTTAAAATTATTTGGATCTAAAATGTTCAGATCCCTACATAATTCAGCGTTGTTTGCAAATCTTCTACTGAATGATTCTACTGCAGTATCCGCAATAACGTTAAAAAAAAAACAATTCTAAAATTTTCTTTTGGGCTTACTGGGATTTCATCAGAAGTTTTCTCATCAGAGAATTTCTTTTTCTTTTTTGATCGAAACTCGGGCAATTGTTCTTCAATAAAAAATTCGAAGTCTCTCCTTTCAAAAGAGAGTTTAGCCCACCCTACAAATTTATCTGCAGATGCTTCAATGTCTAGAAAATTTCGTTGCATTTTTTTTAAACTCAGTATATAATCATTAACCATAAAGTTACATTTTAATAAATCTAACCCTGTTGTCTGAATATATCTTGATAAAGGGCCTGTTATAGAGAACAGTTTTAAGAATATGTGCCCAATTAAAATATTTTCGTATTTCAGTAATTGTGCTTTGTAATTTGCAGCGGTCGCTCTTGCATCTGGCTTAAGTTTTTGTGAATTTTCAATTGTATTAAGAATGTCAATTAAATCAACGTACAGTGCTTTATTAGGTTCATTAAAATTACCAAAAATTTTACTGAGCGCTGCTTCCTTTGACCACCAACGAGTTTCTCCTATAAACTGAAGTTTCTGTGATCTAGCATTGTTGCCAATGTCCAACCAGTAACCCATGCGTTGATGAGATTCTTTAAAAAATGCTGCTATACAATTCAGTAATGAAAAAAAATGATGCGGCCTTAATGTGGGATTTAAAAATGTCTGTCAGAACAAGATTTAAAATATGCGCATAACACCAATCATGAACATGATTTGAATTTTCCTGGACCATGAAACTGGAGAATCCCGAATATCTCCCTTGCATATTAGCCGCCCCATCAGTAGAGTCAGCAATACAATTTTTTCATCCAAACCATTTTTTACCAGTATGTCATGAATCATGGTATGAAATCCCTTCCCTGTTGAATTGTGACAAGGAACAACTGCAAGAAGGCGTTCGTGAATTGTTCCGTTGTAAACATACCTGAAATAAAATAAAATAAGCAAAGGTGAAGATTTTATTATACTTACAATTTAACATACCTTGTTACAACTGAACATTGGTCTGTTACTGAAATATCTTGAGTGCTGTCTATTTCTATAGAGAACATAGTGGCAGTCTGTATCTCTGAAGAAATCTTCTTTAGAATAATTTCTGTGATTATGACAATGATTGAATTTACAGTAGTTTTTGACAAAAATGTGTAGAAATTTTCAGCTCGACGTTTGATATTTCTATTGTGATAACTTTTGCTTTTTTTAACAATGGCGTCCAAATGTTTCTTCAAAATAACATCAAATTTCGATAAAAGTAAGATTATTTCCAAAAAATTACCATGATCTAGGTTTTCATTTTCTAGATTGTATGCAGCTTCATTTGCTGTGTCCCGATAAGAAAGTCCTCGTTTGCCAATTAGTTTTATAACATCAATAATAACATCCAAAACGTGCCGATTGCTTGCAACTTTTTTATTTCTCATTTCAACAACGTTTCCAAAAAGTATTTTTTCAATTGTTTGATTTTTAATATACATGAAATATGTTTCGCAGTTTTTTCCATGACTGATTGAACTTTCATGCTCATTTATTCGCTGATATACATGTTTCCAATCAGACATACCTCTTGCAAAAGCAGAACTTTGATCTTTATTACTCTCAACTGAATAAGCAAGACAAATTGTGCAGAAAAGTGCCTTTCTTTCTTCACTATAGCTCAACCATTTCCTTTTTGTTTTATTATTACGCCTAAACGCTTTTTCCACATTGAAAGGTACATCTTTTTGTGCGACAGGTACCTTTGGATGGAATTAAAAAAATAGCTGTAATTTATTGGGATCGGGACGGTCGAAGAAATTGCCAGATTCTGTCTCTTCCGGCTGTCCCAGCTTTAGTAGCGCCTCTTCGTCTTTAAGTGCCTTTTTTACATTAGCTTCACTATCGCTTTCATCACTTGTCTCTATGTCGTCGTCCGAGTCCTCTGACAGCTTTAACTCAGTTTCAAATTTAGTTTCTGAAACCGGTAAATTTTCTTCGGATTTTTGCTCTTGCTCTTGTTTTTTCGTGTGAATATCACTTTCTACCCCTAAAGTTAAAGGAACAGAATAACTATTGAGCAAATTATCTAAAGAGTGACATTTTTTTGCTATTTCACATCTTTTTTCTTCTCCCTTTCTAGTTTTTTTCTTGTCCTCCTTTTCGTTTTGGTGGCATTGGTATTTGATTTTTTATTCACTTAGTATATTGGTTCTGACGGCTATCATACAAGCAGTTTTCGTCCTAACGTAACAAATTTCATAATTATTGAACAGCTAGAATAGGCGCTTTTTGAGCATGTTTATACATAGTATTTCATAACTATACCTACAAACCTTTAAACGTGGTAGGAGACATCACAACCAACATTCTTGCTTTATAAACAAACGCCCAAAAACGATTTTTTTGCGAATTAGACGTAAAAAAACACTTGAAAGCAATATATTTTTACAAATTTTATAGTTTTTTACAAAACTTAACAATACTACAAAACACTAAAAGTAAGTAAATTTTTTGTTTAAGAAAGAAGATGAAACAGAGTGTACGAGAATTTATTTTAATCGATTGATTTAAAGAGAAAGCTTGAACCTGCCTAATTTATTAATGTGTTTATTTAAAAAAAAATACGAACTTTTAGTACAGAATAACACCTTGCACTGTTTATCCGCGACTTTCCGGACACGGTGTATAGTGTTGAAACACCCTGTATAGTAAAAATTATTTTAAATAATTATTTCCTACCTTAAACTTCCACTCTAATAAATCGGCTTAAGTAATATAACGTTATTGGTTAATTTAGAAGTAGGCAAATGTTTATTATTATCCTTCTACGCCACTATTCAATTAATCCCGAAGTAAAAGCGCACGTCACATAATAATTCGTGTCTTTCGGAACCGGAACTAAGTGATAAGGCGTTAGTTAATCCAAAAGATTTCTGGTGACGCGACGGACGTAGAATTTGCAAACTCGCACAACCGCTGTCTCAAATAACGACAGTCGTCGACAGTAATAAACAAACTGTAAAACGAAAAATAATCCTTAGGGTCTCAAGGTCAAGGGGCTTCCTTTTCTAACAAAAACAATAACTACGATGAATGATACAAACTGTAAGCCGGGAGTGCATATTGTCCGCAGATGTTTTTAACATAGGCCAGTGCCAGACACACATTGTGTTTAAGTTTATTTTCGTGTTTCTTGCTGGGTAAATTTTAATACAATAATAGCTTACAAAAATAGCAGGTAGCATTTAGCAGATATACTCCATTCCACGAATATACGACTGTTTTAAATTCGCTTTAAGGTGTCGACTTAAATGGTCCAATGTGCTGAATTGTACAATGGTAAATTCTCCCCATTTTTAAAATACTGTTATGACAGATATACACCTTAGATTTAAATATGAAGTTATGATCTAAATATAGAATTGATAGTTTATAGAATAGTTGTAATTCAGATTTTGAAGTATACTTGTATAATTACTCTCATTGACTTTAGTATTGTAAACAAGTTGGCTTTTGAATTAAGTGATTTAAACGCAATGTAACAATACCTAAGTGAATAAATAATTTAATTTATTTAGTCGAATATTCAATAAGTATTAAAAAAACAAAAAATACTTAC